ATTTAATAATGACTCAAGAATAATCAAATACATATTTCCACCCTTACATCAAAGGCATTTGGTTTAAATCCAGTCTATTTCAAAGTTCTGAAAAGTCCTTATGACTTCTGCTTGTATATCCATGTCAGATGAGTTGGTGCTCTCATGCCGACCTTTAAAGTTTGTGTCTGCATCACTGACACCTATGAAAAGATTCCTGTTGCCTTCAGTAGATTTCTATCAAACTCATGAGAGAATCTCCTCCTGAGAAAATCTGTAAATAATACTGAATAATTTGCAATCTAGACAAAAGCTAGTTCTGTGCTTGTAACTAGCATGTAACTGCAGTGAAGTCTCCAGGGTATATAGAGAGTGGCAGAGTAGGTACATACCAAATTAGGTCCCTGTTACTCAACAGGTAATAGATCAAGAGTATTAAATTCATTTAAAAGAAAAACAGCCATTAAAATTTCTCCTTCTGCCCCTAAAATACTTCAGAAATTAGAGTATGGAAAATTGTCACTGAAAAATATACGTTTTTAAACTTCCAAATACAGAAAACACATTCAGTGAGAATAAATGCAGGATCTGCTCTGCCTGGTGGCAGAGCTCAAAGAGGAGGTGGAAAGGCTGAGGAGCATCAGGGAGCGTGAGAGGGAAATAGACTGGTGGAGCCATGCCTTACCTTCCTTGAGACAAATGTAGCAAATGGATGCTACGCAAGAAGCAAAGGACCCCACAGCCTCATGCCACCAGGCAAACAGAGGGGAGTCATGAGATGAGGGGCAATGGAGACGGGTCCCTGCTTGGAGAAGCAGACGAAGACCCTCCCTTGCCCTCCCAGATGCCCTTATGCAATAGATCAGAGGGTCGGGAGCTTGAGGACCAGACAAGTAATAATGTAGATGAAGTCCATCCAGGGGGTGTGTCCAGTTTTGGGCCCCTCACTATAAGAAGGACATTGAGCTGCTGGAGCGTGTTCAGAGAAGGGCAACAAAGCTGGAGAAGGGTCTGGAGAAAAAGCTACGAGGAGCGGCTGAGGGAGTTGGGGTTGTTTAGTCTGGAGAAGAGGAGGCTGAGGGGAGACCTTATGGCCCTCTACAACTACTTGAAAGGAGGTTGTAGCAAGGTGGGGGTTGGTCTCTTCTCCCCGGTAACTAGCGATAGGACGAGAGGAAACAGTCTCAGGTTGCGCCAGGAGAGGTTCAGGCTCGACATTAGAAGGAACTTCTTCACTGTTAGAGCTGTTAGGCATTGGAATGGGCTCCCCAGGGAGGTGGTGGAGTCATTGTCCCTGGAGATGTTCAAAAAACGTTTAGATGTGGTACTTCAAGACATGGTTTAGTAGGCATGGTGGCATCAGGTATACGGTTGGACTTGATGATCTTTGAGGTCTGTTCCAACTATAATGATTCTATGATTCTGTGATCATTGGTGATGAGATCAAACTGATACTAGTTCCAAAGTATTCGGCTACATTTGGCTCCAGTTAAATAGCATAGGTATAATCAAGCTAGTTACTGTGGATATAATGTGAATGTAGTCACATTTCTCCTCGTGACCTCCTTTCAGCTGCCCAACTGGGGATGTAATGGAGTGTGAGATTGCAAACAAACTTTACCAGAGAAAATCACTATATTTTCATGAATTGTATGAATTCTTCTGTTGCTTTAACTTAGGTATTGTACTGAAGAGCAGTATATCTCCATCATTGGAGTGCCAGACACTTAAAATGGCTTAATTTAGTGCACATTTTATTTAAGCACTGTTCTCCTTCAGCTGGAAGTGTAATAGTCAATTGAAATGGTCTAATATAGTGTTACTGTTACAAGGGTAATATGACAAAATATCTCAGTTTAGTCCATTTCAACATAAAAATTAATAATGGCACATGTTATGTCAATATCTTCTCTTTTTTTGTTGTTTTTGTTTTTGTTGCTGCTGTTGTTAGAAATGGACCCAGCCTAGTTTTACTGTTGCCACAGTTCGGGTTACAGCAATTAATTTCTGTGAAAAAATTAACTAAATTCTTCTCATCACTTTTGACATGGAAAATACAAAAAACAGTCACCAATGTAAAAAGAAGTGGGCATTATAGCAGTGTTCGCACCACATTCTTACCCTCTAATAGGCTGTCATCCACATAACTTAAGGCAATCCACTTAACTCTGATTTTGAGCACAAATACTTTAGAATATGTCCCGTGGGAGAGAAATATTAAAGATCACTGCTCTGTATTAATGCTGTCACAGAAAATCAAGAAAGCAACTTTGGCTTTTCTTTACTGTCAAAATGAGCAACCTTTTAAGAGTACTGCAAGCATAATAGGCCTTGGCTGGTATGGACTTACTGGCCTGCCTGTATCAATGGCATGACACTGATATATATGAACTGACTATCAAGTACTAATTAAGGAGCCCTGACAACTTTTCTTAACATTCTCTTTTTCTTACACATGGAAAATGATACATGGCTCCTTTGCCACAGTGGACAAGTTAGCCTTAAAAGTAGGTGATGGGTCTTAACTGACTCCTCCCTCACCTTTTCTGTGTCTTGCTAGATTACAGAGTTCCCCTAAGTTATAGCTCCTCTTATTTTCACCTAAGCACCTTGTGCAAATTCTCAAGCTAACATTTCATATGAGTAACTAATGGAAGTTGTGTTTAGAGTTTTCGTTTAAATAACTGGCCATATCTTTTCAACTTGGCAGTAGTTAGGCAGCTCCAGATATCAGAGGGGCCTTTGCTGCTACTGAGTTGGATACTACAGAAGATGGAGTGAGCCAATTTGGGGAACTGTTTTTTTCACTCTCTCACAGGTAGCAGACTTGCAGTGCCATATGTAACTGTGCATTCACTCGGTTTGTTCAAGACTGGGTTTCAAGCCTGAGAGGCGATTAGTGCAGAATTGTTCTCACATGGCCCAGGGCATATTCAGATCTTTCACAGCATAGGTGAAGTTTTCTTAGTTTATAGGTACAACTCCATCCTTAGCACTGCTGAGTTTTCATGCTGCAATTAAGAATCTTACCATAAAAATCTTAGAGCAGAAGGCTTTGTCAGTTTCTTTTAATAATACACGATCATTTGTGTTTATCAACATTTATATTTGCATTTTGATATCAATATTTAAACAAAATAATTCTTCACTTTCATGACTTTATAGGTTTGGACAAGAAACTTTTTTTTTAATATTATTTCTGGTTTAATGTGGTCCATTTTGTGAAGGGCTTTACTATTTCCTAGACCTACTGTTGTTTATCTTGCAGTTCTCACTGAAGTCTTTCTCATATGCAAGGACCATAGACCTTGTAGCTGTGGCCAACCTAATGCTTCTTGCTAACTAAACACAAAGCCTCTGGTAATTGCACTGGAATTTATATATCTTCATATCAACAATTATGTAGTTTATATAAGTAGAGAATTTTATATATCTTTAAAAATGCATTCAGGAAAGGCCACCTCTCCTTTCTTGACAATAAAAGAAGGTCTTTCATGTTAAATTGCCTAGTTTGATGTTCTGTCTCTTCTTCACATGCATAAACTATGTCATCAGTTTACTTCCCAATAAAAATCAGCTATTACTTTTTCATGCTTGATTCACAGCCACTGCCCAGCTAACATCAAAGCCTCTACTTCTAGTCATAGAACAAGTAACATCCTCACTCCTGAGTTGCACAAACCAGTTCAATGGCCATACAGAATGGCTTTTGTATCATATATAAAGCATCCATTTTCAAAAAATTTACAGTGAAAGAAATTCCTCCTCAACTCCTCTGCACACTGAAATCCACATCAGTCCACATCATTCCACAGTCTGAACAGACTGCATTCAGTTTTCAGGGACAGAAAATCAACGTTTCCAGAAAAAGCACTGAATACCAAGTTATACGGTTGGCTTCAGTTGATGTGTGGTTACCATAAGGAATTTTTAAGTAAATTTAAAAAAATACAGATTTTCCTGTACTACTCTGCTCAGACAAAAAAGCATAGAGTATATTTCAAAGGAAATTATTGTAGATTCTTTTTTTTTTTTTAAAGCTAGTAGCAACTCATCATTGTTTTTCCAGCTGATCTATTCATCACATTATTTGTTGGCTCAGTCTAGGATGTTCCTTACAATTTCTCAATATTTTTGCCCCTTCTGTAATTTTCCAATTGGTAGACCCTTAGTGACCACTAAGTTAGATGGGCTATTGCTCTGAGTACTACTACTTTAATATCAGGAGAAATGTTGAGAGCCAGGCATACTAAGTGGATAAACCATTTAGAAGTTATTTGGTTGGAGCCATATTTATCCTGTGTTACAACTCTGTGCCAAAACAACATAGCCATCCAGTTACTCTAGTAATAGCTGAAAAGGGATCTCTGAAGTCAGTATGTAAGTTTTAGTAACTTCTACTACTCCTAAATCAGTATGTTTTGGGGCAGAAAACGTAGAGATGAAAAGCTCTGTCTCCCATTACTGGCCCCTTGAGCCATCCAGTATCCCAGAAAGAGTTTGTTTTAAAGAAAAAAAATTAATCACATTTATTACAAACAGAGCGAAATGTTTCTTATGTCTGAAAGACAAAGATAACGTGGCCGTTAGGGTTAGTCTTACTATATCCCAAAATGTCAACACACTTGCCAAAAGTGAATTTATCAGCTCAGTGCAGCCAAGAGATTTAGTTTATCTAAATGTCCTACAAGGAATAAATAGTTTACCACTGGTTTTGAAGATTGGGGTAAATCTAACATTCTATTGACATATGCTATAGATTTAATTTAATGCTGTGGTTCAGATGTCTCTTCTGATAAATTTTAGTAAAATCTATGCTAAGAAGAATGGAACTGTTTCAGTATTTACGGGGTTTAAAATGCAGGGCTAGCAAAGGAAACACGTTAATTGAAAAAATGTTTGTGTATATTCTTGCAATGGTTTAGAGAAGAATTTTGCTGAAGTTTGTTGGTTAGTTGGTTCCGAGTATTAGAAGTTTAGTATTTTTCAGGTTTGTTGTCTTTTCTATAGTGAGAAAATCCTCTAATGAAATGATTAAATAGCTCAATTTTTATTTTTTAGGCATATTGGAGATAACATCTGTAGAAATTGGAGTTGTGGCGGTTAAGTCTATTAAAAGCAACTATTACTTAGCCATGAACAAGAAAGGAAAAGTCTACGGCTCTGTAAGTATTTTTTTACCTTCGAAATGGATTTCAGTAGTCAGCATAGCTCCCCATCTTACCTACTGAAAACACCACTTGTCTGTGTATTACTACTAATTAGACCTGAAATGAGCTGTTCATCCATATTTCATCCTCTGGTAAATGAATAGCCCCACTCTCCACAAGCTCCCTGTTGTTTGTTATGCTGATACCATACTAAAGCAGCTGCTGGGATTTATCATGCTTATTGCTTCAGTCAGGTTTCTTATTAAGTAGCATCCAATGGAGAGAGTCCTACAAAATGTAATCTTTAAGACTGTTTTTCCCTGGTTTTCTGCAGTACAGTCACATTTAGCAGTAATTCTGGGGGGATAAAATGTATCTGAAATCTTGGAAACTTCGGCTGATGGAGCAGTCACACCAAGTTATCAAACTATGACTTTGAAAAAGAAAATTTCTAGAGTAGCAGCTTTAAATTGACTGTATTAATTAATACACAAGATTGTGTGCAATACAGAGAGACATAGACTTATATGTCAGCAGATAGATAAGCTTTGACTGAGCAGAATTTGGGTATCATTTGAAAATTGTCCATACATACTCTATTTGTATTTGCATTACTGATACTTTTAGGGAAAAACAAAACAAAAGAAAAAAAAAAACCACACCACAAAAAAAACCCAACCCAATAAAACTCAGTAACTGTCCAAATATTTTTAACAGGAAGCAATATGATCTATAAATCTGACTACTAAACTTAAGTGTACACTCCTCACACATCCACATGATTACACAAACATCAGATTGTTCTGGTATTATGTCTGGTTTGGTTTGCACTTTTGCAGCTTTTTGCCAGTTCCAGAGAGTTTGAGCCCATATAAATGTAAACTTATTCAAGTCATCTGCAAAGGTTATGAGCTAATCTTCAGATTGCTCAGTGTTCAGAACATCCATAGGCTTTAAAGAGAGCAGGTCACAGGTAGGTACTGATGCTGGGTTTATCCTCGGGCAATGTAGCTGAGCCTCTTATCTCTACTGAAAATAATGAAGTGATGCCAGTCTCAACTGAGACTCAAGGGGCTTGAAGTCATTTGACCCTCTTTTTTAAGGAAACATTTCTACGGGGTGGGTTTAGTTCATACAAACTACATAAACAGTCCTCCCTCATCTGCACTGTGGCTAGTCAATCCTAGTTCAAAACATTAATTCTGACTTTCTAAACTCCTGGACAGTGTTGAAAAATCACATTAAGGAAGGACCAGAACAGAGAAATGTTTCTTAAACTCCTTTAAATGTGAATTTTAATTTCTAGAATTACACTGGCCAGATATACAGGATGGTCAATGCTCAGTCCTGCATCATTGTGAAGTATAAGGGTATACTGAGTTGCTGACAAAGTTACCATTTGTCAGTTAAGCTACACTCATTGACCATGGGTATGCTTCTGGACATATGTGAAGGTGTTAGCATAAATCACTGTCTCCAATTCACACGTCTCAGTTTACAGTGTTTAGTTTAGTCATTTGTGATGGTCCATCCTAAAGCCTGAGATAAGTTTTCCTACGCAAGTTAGCCACAGCTGGTGTGTTGAGAGTCCATCCCAAGTCTATATACACATAAAAGAAGTCAAAGCAGATTTCATGTACCATAGGTGGAAACTGCTGCCATAAGATTCAGTAATTCATTGTGTATTAAAAATAGGGTTGACAGGAGGATGCAAAAGTGGAAAGTTTTTTTAATTCCAGCTGAGATAATTTTTCAATATTCACGTCATAAAATCACAACATAATGACTTATCAAAATCTATTCCATAATACTACAGAGATTTCAAGAATGCTTCTGTTATTATTTTTCCTGTCCTCCCAAGACTTAGTTAGACTCATATTACTGCAGTGTGGCAGCTTGCAGATGGATATGAAAACCAAACCAATAAAAATTTTAAAAACACTCCTAAGCATGTGCACAATAGACATTGGTGCAGGGTTATGCTGAAATTTGTTTGAAATGAGCAAAGCAGTCCTGGGCTAACACTCAGACCCCTGCCAATAAGATTTCTTAACCACATCACAGCATCATCTGTTCTGTCTTTATTATCTAAGAATAGAGATAAAAGTTTGTATTTGAGTACAATTCTGCATATGGGAAAACAAGTAATACTGTTTCTATGTTTATCAAATACTTTTTCCTTTTGACCAAGTTTGGTTAGAATGAGGGAGCAAAAGAAGACTTGTATTTGGTTTCTTTAACAAAATAAGCTGCTGGCAAATAGGAGAAGTTACTGTGGTTTAGAACTGTGATTCATGGCCACCTCCCTGCTTAATACCCTGACACCAGAGGTGGCATATTACAGTAAATAAATACTAAATTATCTATATGTAGCTTTGTGAATACAGGCGGTATAGGGTCATTTTGTAGAGAGTCTTATCTTGATGGTGTCTTTCTCACCAGTCATTGTTCAACTAATCCCAAATAAATAAATAAATAAATAAACTAATCCCAAAGTCAAAGAGCATTTTGGGAGCCAAACTGAGTTTGAATATGCACAATTCTGTTAGGAAAATGTAAACATGAGTTCTGTGATCTTAGCAGCAACAAAGTAAAACATTAATTAGACCCAAAAATTCTTAATGTGTCAAAAAGTACTGCACATGAACTGGTTTAAAAATTCTAATTTAATAGGAATGGAAAACATATTTTTAAAATATTTTTATGTCCTTTTTTATTAATGTGGATACTTTCTATATCTTATTTAGCTGAATATCTAAGGATTTTGATCGTAATAAAAAGTAAAACATCCCTGAAATTATTATATGTACCATGAAAATGACTTTATTATTCAGACATATTTCTTGTCTTGTTTGCAGGCATGTTAAAAATACACATGTAATTAGTATATCATATTCTGAGATTCTGACATACTTCTGCCTGAGCTGTGAAAAAACATCTTATTTTCTGAAATGCAGAAACAACAAAATGCCAATTTTTGCTTATAATTTTATGTATGTTGTGAATGTCCCACTTTCAAAAGCCTTCTAAATGGAATATAAGTAACTTGATAAAACTGGTGGGGTTTATGTGTAGGAATTACTTGTTTGTGAAAACAAAGCATTCTTGGCTTCATCATAAAGAAGATGTGTGTAAAAGTGCATTTAACATTGTAGAAACAAATAGTCTTTCCATCCATGCT